TATTCTCTGCTTTCAGCCAAGATCCATCGGACATCAGCAATGATATCTCGCGTTCCACGGCCTCTTCTGAATCCAGCTTGAACCTCTGGAAGTTCTCTGTCATGCATATGAGGTTATTGAAAATACCATGGCTTGGGGTCAGGTGCAAGACTCCTTCAATATTTCAAGTCTAGGCTTGAATCTTTTCTTCACTTCTTTCAGCTTGAAAAATGTTCTTCTCTTCTGGTTTTCCAACTCGAGGCCTTTACACATTTCACTACAATACTTGATTAAATTTGTATAGCTCTTGACAAAATTCTACTCAACAATCCCAACAATAATCCAGTGAAGAAGGCAGGCAGGAATGCACTATTATTACTATTTAAACAACAACAGTTATTGCCAGTTCCTACTGACGGTGAACCCATGTGTGTCAGAGTAGAGCTGTGTCCCATAAGGTTAGCAGCAGCTTGCCATTTTAACCATTCGTACCAACACTATTTTACAGATATGAAAACTGAGACTTGGTGTATAGTGATTTTTCTAAGGTCATATGTTAACAGGCAGTATAGAAAGAACCCAAACTCATGCCTTCCAATGTCTTGCAGAAGTTTTTTCCTATGCCACGAAGTACTAAAGCAAATAAAGGATGCTTGGAGTGGTTTTCATCAAGAAACATTTAAAATTTTCAGTAATGTTTATGCTTACACAAGCAGTTTTAGTTAAATGAAAAGGGCACTCATGTGAAATAGATCTTTGGCCAATAATAGTGGAAAATATAATATGTTACTATAGTTTTTAGGAGCTCTAGTGGCACCATAAAATAAGTATTGGCCTGGTAACCATAACCACAAGGTCAACAATTCAAATGCATCAACGGCTCCTCAGGAGAACGATGAGGTTACCTGCTTCCACTAAGATTTACAAACTGTAACCCTTGTAGTAAGCAACGCACTGCCTCGAATGCAACCAGAGCTCTTCAACACGTAGTAGGGTTCAATAAATACATGTTAATCAAATGACTCCTATTACTTGGAGCAATGCACTTAGAAAACCTTAGTGTCCTTTTTCACAGGTCATAAGAATGTTTTGTGGGGGACATTATGTGAACCTGGTTCTAATGAGCAATTTTTATGTCTAAAAATTGTTATAATGAGGCATTTCAAGCATACATTTTTAAAAAAAATCATCTATTTGAGATGAAGGCAGAGATGAGGACTTGGAAAGAGAGAGCAGCTGAGGACTCTAGATTCATGGAAAGAGAAAGGCTGTGTGCTGGTGGCCAGGAGGGAGGCTTGCAGAATGTGTTCTTCGGTTGTCTAAATAATTATACATTACTGAGTGTTTTTTATACATCCTGCACCCACACACACAAAAAAAAAACCCACAGAGGAAATAGAAGCAAATACTGTTGAATGACGATGCACACAGGAAATTGTCATCATTGCAATAAAACAATGGTGTAAACCCGATGTTCTCCCATGTAAGTTATCACTCAATTCACAATAAAAAGTTAAAAAAAAAAAAATCATCTATTTGAGACCAAATAATCAACAATGACTTTAAAGCAAAGAAGACAGAGTAAGAGTACAGAGAAATCAGATTCTTGGGTGTTAAACATCTACAAAGAAATTAATGAGACTATTGACACATTGTAAAAAAAAAAAAAAAAAAAAAATGTAATCAATATCACAAAACCATTGGTGTAATAATTATTCAATGGAAACCTACTTTGCTATGTAAAGTTTTACCAAAACACAGTAAAATATTATTTAAAAGAAAAAAACAAACAAATAACCATTTATAACCTCAGAAACCCTGTGTAGGGCTGCTATGAGTAGGAACTGAATCAGTGGCAGTGGGGTTGGATTCTGTTTTTTTAAACTTAGCCATTCTTACTAGTCAAATAAAAGGGATACCATTTGGTGTGCAGAGCTTACCTCCTTTGCAGATGCTGGGGTAAAAAGAATCAGGAAACGCGGTACCGGCCTGATATGCATCCTGGTGTTCAAGCAATAGCTAGAGAAGAGGAAAATACAGAAATTAGAGGGCAAGAGCCAGCTGTCTGGGATTTACAGGCCCAGTCACTCTCCACCTATAAGAAGCTGGAGCTCTGGGCTGGGGCTGGGGGATATGAGCCCTGAACTAAGGTCCCCCTTCCTATAGAGGAAAATTACTATCTAGACTCCTGTTTCCAGTTCTGTCCCTCAGTGATCAGCCAAATGGATCAATTGTTGTTGTTAAGTGCCACTGAATCAGCTTCAACCCATAGCAACCCTGTATAGGGTTTTCTAGGAGCAACTGGTGAACTCAACTCACTGACCTTGTGGTTCAAATGGACTTTGCTGTCCAGCACATTAATCCACAACACCACACCAAGACCAGTAAACGACCCTTTTTCCTAAAGATAGCTTGAGTTGGACTTTTGTCACTTGAGAATAATAATTAACTTTATTGAGTATTTACTTTATCAGCCACTGTTTTAAGTACTTTATATGTGTCGAACCTGCAGGGTGTAGTGAGGTAGATAATGTTATTCTACATGACAAAATAATTCTGAAGTAAATTTTAAAAATAAATGTACAAAATAGTCAGGAAATTGATGGAATATAAAGGAGAATAAGGAGGACAGATGTATCCTTCAGATATAAGCTGTAGAGAAATTAAAGGTAGAGAAATTAAAATAGCATTATCTTGGCACCAAAAGAGATAGATTAATGAAACATAATAAAGAAGACAGAAACAGACTCAAGCATACACAACAGCTTAATATCTGATTGTCATGAACTGAATTGTGTTCCTCAAAAATATGTATCAACTGGGCTAGGCCATGGTTCTCAGTGGCTGTTGTTGTTGTTAAGGGCCATCGAGTCAGTTCAGACTCATATTGACCTTGTACAGGCTTTCCAAGAAGCGGCTGGTGGGTTTGAACCACCGACCTTGCAGCTCAAACTAACCTTGTGGTCCAATGCATTATCCTGCAGTGCCACACCAGGACTCCATGATTTTCAGTATTGTGTAATTGTTTTCCATTTTTGTGATCTGATGTAAATGTTATAAACATATAGAATAATTATATCATATTGTGATCTGATGTAATTATCTTATGTGTTTATAATATTAACCTCTATCGTGTTGACAAAATCCTGTAAGGGCACTGTAGAATGAGCACTGGATGGTTAACAGCAAGGTCGACAGTTCAAACCCAGTAACTGCCCCTCAGAAACCCTATTTAAGGTGACTAAGAGTCATAACCCACTCAACAGCATTTAACAACAGCAATGATGTTAACATGGCAGGATTCGTGGCCATATTGTAATGAGACAGGATTGTAATTTTCAGGATTAGGCTGTCATTTGAATCAACCTCTTAAGATATAAGAGAGATTAAATACATGAACAGAGGGACCTCAGTACTGCCAAGAAAGATGAGCCCAGAGTGGAGCACATCTTTTAGACCTGGAGTCACTACCCTGGGAAATACCTAGACCTAGGGAAAGATTGGTGACAAGGATCTTCTGGCTAGAGCTGGCAGAGCAAGAAAGCCTTCCCCTGTACCCCCTGCACCCTGAATCCAGACTTCTGGTCTCCTAAATTATGAAAGAATAAATTTGTTGGTTAAAGGAATCCACTTGGTGGTGTTTCTGATATGTTGTTGTTAAGTGCTGTTCAGTTGGTTCCAACTTAGAGCAACCCTGCATTGGGTTTCCGAGGAGTGACTTGGGAGTTTGAACCACTGACCCAGCAGCACTAAATAACTAAAACTGTGATTTTGTTGTTGTTTTTTTAAGCACACAACTGGTCGCCATTGAGTTAATTCTGACTCATGCTCATGGTGATGCCATGTGTTAACACCTAGAAATGAACTCTGTAGGGTTTTCTTGTCTGTTAATCTTTAGAGAAGGGGATCACCAAGTACCACTGGGTGGGTTCAAGCTTCCAAACTTTAGGTTAGTAGTCAAGTGCAAACCATTTGTGCTCCTCAGGGACCATCTTATACAAGATAGAGATGAGTAAAGGATTGAGTAGTTGACAAAGAGTATCTTGTTGTTAAGGGCCACTGAGTTAGTTCCAATGCATAGTGACTCTCTCTCTATACCACCAACCTTGCACTTCAAACAACCCCAATATTTATGAGTCTATTTGGAATACTCATTGTACATGGGAGAATATATACTTAGCCTAGATGACCCTGATTGAAATTAACATTACACATAATGAATCCCCGATATGGATCCCTATCTTCCTCCATCCACCAATCGTCTGTCACTGGGATGCTGGAAGCTATGCCACTAATACCTTAAATACTAGCAAGGTCACCCAAGGTGGTCAGGTTTCAGTGGAGCTTCCAGATAAAAACAGACAAGGAAGAAAGGTAGGCAAACTGCTTCTGAATGGTTTGACACTGAAAACCTATGAGTAGTAGTGGAACATCGTCTGATATAATGTCAGAAGATGAGCCCCTCTGGTTGGAAGGCACTCAAAATATGAATAGGAAAGCACGGCCTCCTCAAAGTAGAGTTGATCTTAATGATGTGGATGGTGTTAAGCCTTTGGGACCTTCATTTGCTGATGTAGCACAACTCCAAATGAGAAGAAGCAACTGCAAACATCCATTAGTAATTGGAACATGGAAAGTATGAAGCATGAGTCTAAGAAATTGAAAACTGTCAAAAATGAAATGGAACGTATCACGCATTAATGAGCTGCAATGGACGGGTATTAACCAATTTGAATCTGACAACCACACGGTTTACTATGCCAGGAATAACAAACTAAAGAGGAATGGTATTACACTCATTGTCAAAAACAACATTTCAGCATCTATCTTGAAGTACAATGCTGTCTGTGATAGGAAAATATCCATACCTTTATAAAGAAGACCAATTCATACCACTATTATTCAAATTAATGCACCAAACAGTGATGATGAAATTGAAGAATTCTACCAACTTTTTCAGTTTGAAACCGATCAAACATGCAAGCAAGATGCATTGATAATTACTGGTGATTAAGATGCAAACGTTGGAAATGAAGAGGAAGGATCCACATTGGAAAATATGGCCTTGGTGATAGAAATGATGCTGGAGATGGCATGATAGAATTTTGCAAGACCACCGACTTATTCACTGCAAATACCTTTTATCAAAACAAGGCAAGGAACTGACTGTGAAACAGATCATCAATTGCTCATATATAATAATGAAACAAAACAACTTAATGAGAGCCAAAATATGATCTTGAGTATATGCCCCTGAATTTAGAAAACATCTCAAGAAGAGATTTAATGCATTAGATACTAATGACAGAATTGTGGGTGACATCAATTAAGAAAACAAAAGGTCACTAAAAACACAGAAAAGAAAGAAATTATCAAAGCAGATGTCAGAAGAAACTCTGAAACTTGCTCTTGAGACAAGCTAAAGTGACTGGAAGAAAGGAAGAAGTATAAAATATCAAAGGGCAGCTTGAAAATACAAGCTCAAGGATTATAATGAAATGTGCAAAGATCTGGAATTAGAAAACCAAAAGTGAAAAACATGCTCAGGATTTCTGAAGCTGCAAGAACTGAAGAAAAATTCAGGCCTCAGGTTGCAATATTGAAGATTCTGTAGGAAAAATATCACCTGCGATATGCAGATGATACAGCCTTATTGCTGAAAGCCAAGAGGACTTAAAAGACTTACTGATGAAGATCAAAGGCCACTGCCTTTGGTATGGGTAGCACCTCAATGTAAAGAAAGCAAAAATCTTCACCAATGGACCAATAAATAACATCAAGATAAATGGAGAAAAGATTGAAGTTGTCAAAGACCATCAACACTCATGGAATCATCAGTCAAGAAATCAAACGATGTATTGCATTAGGTAAATCTGTTGCACAAGACTTCATTAAAGTGTTCAAGAGCAAAGAGGTCAGTTTGAAGATTAACATGCACCTGAGCCAAGCCACAGTATTTTCAATAGCCTCATATGCATGTAAAAATTGCACAATGAATAAGGAAGATCGTAGAAAAATCGATGGATTTGAGTTCTACTATTGGAGGAGAATATTAAAAGTACCATGGACTGCCAGAAAAATAAACAAATCTGTGTTGGAAAAAGTACAGCTAGAGTGCTCCTTCGAAGCCAGGACAGCCAGACTTCATCTCTCATAGTTCAGACACATTATCAAGAGAGTCCAGTCCCAGGAGAAGGACATCAGGCTTAGCAACGTGGAAGGTCAGAGAAATAGAGGAAGACCCCCAACTAGATGGGTTGGCACATTGGCAGCAGCAATGGCTAAGAAGTTGGCGAAGGATCAGACCTTTTTCATTCTGTTGTGCTTAGGGTCATTATGAGTCCGTACCCTTTTGATGGCACCTAACCACAACAACATATAGTATTTGGAGTCCTGGTATGGTGCTATATAAGCAATAGAACGCAAAGTCAGTTTGAACCACAAGGTCGGCAGTTTAAACCCACTAGTCGCTCCTCTGGTAGCGTCGTGGTTACAAATCAGGCTGCCAGCCGCAAGGTCAGCAGTTCGAAACTACCAGCTGTTCTGCAGGAGAAAGATGAGGCTTTCTGCTCCCGTAAAGATTTACAGCCTCGGAAACCCTGTATAGGGTCGCTATGAGTCGGAACTGACTCCAAGGCACATAACAACAACAACAGTTGCTCCTCGAAAACTCTATACAGGATGGATATGAGTTGGAACCAACTCCATAGCACTTGACAACAACATATATGCTGCTGGTGGTTGTATGCCGTGGAGTTGTTTATATATATGAAATTGGTGGTAGTGTAGGATAAGTACTGGACAGTAAGGTCATTGTGAACTACAAGGTCGGTGGTTCAAACTCACAAACTACTCTTTGAAAACCCTATACAGGGTCACTATGAGTCTGAACTGACTTGGTGACACTTAACAACAAATACATATATATAAACGTTCAAGTAGTATTTAGAAGTCATTCTCCTAGACATACACTTTTTAAGTCAAAATATTAATATTTTACAGAGACATAAAAATAACTGTTTAAACATGTTCAGGTATCTATTAGGGTCTTTGTCTCTTACTAAAGAAAGAGACAAAGGAAAATTCAAACTTTATACCTCTTTGTAGTTAACACTCCCAGCCTGAAGACTGAGAAACTCCAGAGCTCTGTGTCCTGAAAGAAATGAATACAAAAATTAATTAAATTCAATTATAACTGAAGATGAAACTTACTAGAGATCATTTCAAAATTGAAAAAATATAATCCTATGGTTTAACTGTCAAAGAAACAGGAAATGGAAATTAAATTTGTATTCATTTAAAATCTTCATGAGGCACAATCAGATTCATATAGTATTTGTATATTATAATGTGATTCAAATCTTCATGGTAGGTTAATATCACAGCTTAACTAGCTCTATTGTTGTTGTTGTTAAGTGCCATCGAGTCAGTTCCAACCCATAGCGACCCTGAACAGGGTTTCCGAGGCTGTAAATCTTTACGGGAGCAGAAAACCTCAGCTTTCTCCCTCAGGTAAATTATTTAACCTTTCTAGGTCTCAGTGGAGTCCTGGTGTGGCACTGCAGGATAATGCGTCAGACTGCAAAGTCGTTTGAACTGCAAGCTTGGTGGTTCAAGCTCACCAGCTGCTCCCTTGGATACCCTATACAGGGTCGCTATGGGTCAGAATCAATTTGACAGCACTTAACAACAACAACAACAACAAGATCTCAATAGGACAGAGTGTGGCACTGTAGGATTAGCACTGGACTACCAACCACAAGGTCAGTGGTTCAAACCCATCAGCTGCTCCTTGGAAACCCTATATAGGGTCACTATGAGTCAGAATCAACTCTATGGCACTTAACAACAACAATAACAGGTCTCAGTTTCCTCTTTTGTAAAATTAGGTACATAATACTTACCTTATAGGTTTGTTGAGAAAAATCATAGAAAATTAATGGCTGATACATGGTACGATCTCAATAAACAGAATTTCCCATCAACATATTTTTGTCTTACAACAATCCACTGAGATAGATGAATCTAAGTAGAAAATACAATAAAGGTCTTACCCATGGACTGGTCATTGGACCAGGTGGAAGGATAATAAAAACTACATATATGCACACCCTCACCACACCTACACCCTGAATCTTCTTAGAATCAATAGAAAGACTAATAACATTTTTTTTGTGAAGAAATATGCAAAGGTGATAACCTTATTTTTATTATGAATCACATCTAACATTTTAAAAATCCATATAACTGAAAAGTATATCGCCACTACTATGATAAGTACTTGGAATCCTGGTGTGAAGCTGTAGGATAAGCACTGGATTGATAACTGTAAGGTCGGTGGTTCAAACCCACCAGCTGTTTCAAACCCACCACTCACTCACTCCTTGGAAACACTATACAGGTTTGCTATGAGTTAGAACTAACTCGACAGCACTTAATGACAACAACAGTATGTTAAGTATTGAGCCCTGTTAGGACTCTGTAGGATTAGCAATGGACTGGTAACCACAAAGGCCAGCAGTTCAAACCTACCAGCCAATCTCAGAAAACCTGCAAATCTTATAACTGAACTGATGGCACACAACAGTAAGTGTTGGGCTACTTCACATCAACAAGTAACGTAAGATCAGTGATTCAAACACACCAGCCACTCAGAGGGAAAAAGATAAGGCTGTCTGCACCCATAAAGATTTACAGTCTTGATGATCTGTTCTGTAAACTTTCACTCAATTCACAATAAAAAGCTAAAAAAAAAAAAAAAAAAAAATTACAGTCTTGGAAACTCTATATGTAGGGTCCCTCTGAGTTGGAATCCACTCAACAGTAGTGGGTTGGGTTTGTCATTTTGGTATATTATAAGCAAGAAGCCTGGCCCAATGGTTACTCGCTGGACTGCCAACTGGAAAGTAGGCAGTTTGAACCAAGTGCAGGGCTGATCTTGCAGCGCCACACCAGGATTCCTACGGAGACCTAGAAAGGTTAAATAATTCACTCCAGGCCGATCTGCTCCTGTAAAGAAGACAGCCTAGGAAACTCTATGGGGAGGTTCTACCCCGTCTTGTAGGGTCGCATGAGTCAGAATCAGTTTGACAGCACACAGCAATATATCATAAAAGAAGGCCACACCAGGACAAATAATCTACATCTAGGAAGTTAATAACTGATTTCTAGAACAAAACCATTGAATGAGGTCAGTTATCATTAATAAGACTACAATCTTCAGTATGAATTATACTTTAACATAAAGGAAATAAAAATTCTTATAAATGGACCAAAAGGTAGTATCATGATAAACAGAAAATATTGAAGTTGTCAAGGATTTCATTTTACTTGGATCCACAATGTTCAAGGAAGAGATAGTTAGAAAATCAAAGGGTATACTGCATTGGACAAATCTGCTTCAAAAAGTTCTTAAAGAGCTCTCGGCTAAAAAGCCGAGATGTCACTTTGAGGATTATGGAGCACCTGACCCAAGCCATAATAGCTTCAATCATTTTATATGCATACAAAAGCAGAACAATGAATAAGATCAAGGAAGAAATGGATGTCTTTAAATTATGGTGTTGGTGAAAAATATTAATAATTCCATGGACTTCCAGGAGAATGAACAAATCCGTCTTCGAAAACGTAAAGCCAGTACAGTATGCTTCTTAGGAGTGAGGATGGTGAGACTTTGTCTTACATACTTAGACATGTTATTAGGAGGGACGAGTCCCTGGAAAAGGGTATCATGCTCGTTAAAGAAGAGACAGGAAAAAAAAAAAAAACCCTGCCATCAATCCATTTCTACTCATAGTGACCCTATACAGGGCTTCTCAGACCATGAATTTTTACGGGAACAGACAGCCTCATCTAGTAGAGGGTCGGCAAAAGACAAGACTCTCAATGAGATCAGTTGATTCAGTGGTTGCAATAAACTCAATCAGCAACAACTGTTAGGATAGCACAGCACTGTGCAATGTCTCAATCTTGTGTGCATAGGATCTTTCTGAGTCAGAACCAACTTGATGGCACCAAACAACAACACACTTCCCTAAATGTAAAGTTTCCACTTGTTGTTGTTAAGTACTGTCAAGTTGGTTCTGATTCATAGTGACCCTATATAGGGTTTCTGTGACTTTAAATCTTTGAAGGAGCAGAAAGCCTTATATTTCTCCCATGAAACAGCTGGTGGACTACAACTGCTGACCCTGTGGTACAGTCCAGTGCTAGGTCCTAGATAAGAAGTGAAAATGGAAAAACCAAAACACCTAAGATATTGAAAATATGTTGGCATTTTAGTCTCCTTTCACATAAAAAAATTCTCAAAATCTGTACAGATCCTACTTCAGGCATTACTTTCAATGACAATCACATCAACATATATTCTAATCTTTGAATGTCTGCTAGGATCTTTGCTCAGCAGCTGCTGCAGAAAGGCAATGATTGGACTTCATTAGAATCTGAGATTCCATCTGTCTTATAAACCTGTAAACGCCAAGCATTGAAAAGTAGAACATTTCCATTTACATTTTTCCACTTTAAAACAGGTTTTAGTAATTTTACAGATCTTAGAGTTGGAAGACACTGTAAAATTTATTAAGAAGTTCTGCTCCTTTATTTTACAGCAGAGCAACTGAGCGATAAAGCAAAGTGTTCAGCATCACAGACCTGGTTTACAGCAGAGCTAGCACTAGAATCTAGATCTGACTCTCTTTTCTAATACCTCCTGTTTCCCTTTTAGTAATAAGTGTTTAATGGAAAGAACATAAAATTAGCTGTCAGGACATGTAATTCTATGCCTGTCCCTAGTGAGTTAGCTGTGAAACTCTAGGTGAGGACTTTCTGGAACCAGCTGTCTCATTTGTAAAATTTAGTTATCCTCTAGTGTTCTCCTCAAGTCATAAAATCCTCTGATCATAAGATTCTTGCCTATCCAGAGCTCAGTATCTAGGTCTATTTTGCTCTGATAGGTTTGCAGCCTAAACACATTGTCATAAAATGGATTTTGACTTACAGCAATTCTATGTTGTTGTTTTGCTATGTGCTATTGAGTCATTTCCGACTCATAGTGACCTCATACAGTGTTTCTAAGGAGTATCTGGTGAGTCTGAACTGCTGACCTTGAGGTTCAAACCAACCTTGCAATCTAGTGCATTATCCGACAATGCCACACCAGGACAGCAGAATTGCTCCATAGAGTTTGAAGCTGTAATCTTTGTAGAAGCAACCAACCTCATCTTTCTCCCACAGAGCAACTGGCAGATTCGAACCACTGACCTTTCAATTAGCAGTCCAACCCTTAACACACAGAACCACCAGGATTCCTTGATGTTACCATATTTTATTTTAAATTTTGTTCAACTGTGTAACTCTGAGACACAGTTTAACAATGAATGACGAGTATTGTTTTTATCTAAACGACAGGACTAAGGTGCGCCTGATCCAAGTCATGGTATTTTCAAGAGCCTCATATGCATGTGAAAGTTGGACAGTGAATAAGGAAGACCTTAGAAGAATTAATGCATTTGAGTTAGAGTATTGGAGAGGAATATTGAAAGTACCATGAAATGCTATATGAATAAAAAAATTTATATTGGAAGAAATACAGCAAGAATACTCCTTAGAAGCCAGGAGGGTGAGACTCTGTCTTTCATACTTCGGACATGTTATCAGGAGGGACTAGTTCCTAGAGAAGGGCATCATGCTTGCTAAAGTAGAGGGTCAGAGAAAAAGAAGAAGAGCCTCAATGAGATGGATTGCCAGTGTCAGCAATAATGGGCTCAAGCGTAACAGCAGTTGTAAGGATGGTGCAGGACTTGGCAGTGTTTCCTTCAGTTGTGCAGAGGGTCACTATGAGTCAGAACCAACTTGAGGGCACTTAACAGTAACAACAACAGTAGCAACAAACTACAGAAACCCCAGAACATCACATCTATTTCAAATTCATTTGAAAATTACTGTAGGATGTAATCTTATCTAATTATATTTCAAATTGGCTCATACCTCCCACATGTTAAAAAATATTACAAATACACTTTATTGCAAGAACATGATTTTCATGCTACCACCTACTTATATCCAGATAGTTCTGTCTCTGCCACTGGTTGTTGGCACCAGTTTGCTGTACCCCTTCGCTCCCCAACTCTTGCCATCATTCTAGACACCTCTAATATCAATGAAGATGACTATGTAAACACCCTTATCACCTCTTGATCTCCTTGAAGTCAATCACCTTTGTTGTTGTTGCTTCTGCTAAGTGCTATCAATTCATAAAGACACTGTATAGGGTTCCCAAGAAGCAACTGATGGGTTTGAGCCACCTACCTTGCAGTGGTTAGCAGTCTAGTGCTTATCCTATAGCATCATGCCAGGGCTCCTTCAAAGCCACTTAAATTAGAGGACCCACTCCGAAGGCCATTTAGAACCCTTTTCTTACACTTGCAAATGTCTGTCTTCAGACAACAACAACAAAATCTTCATTCCTTACAATATTAGGAGCCCCTGAGTGACACAAAAGGCTAAGTACTCAACCACTAAGCCAAAAGGTTGGTGGTTCAAACCCACTCACAGGTATCTCAGAAGAACATCATGGCAATCTGCTCATGAAAAAAGTCACAGCCTGTGAAGCCCATGGAGTTGCTAAGAGTTAGAACTTTTCTAACGACAACTAACAACCACCACTTACATACTGTTGTATGCCTAGCCTTCTCCTCTCCCATTTTATCAGTTTGGTTTCACAGCAATCTCTTGTTCAGAGGTGGGGAAAGTTTTTTTGTCAATGGTCATTTGGCTATTTATTAACACCATTCGAGGGCCACAAAACTATCAACTTAAAAATTAGCTTGCTTGAATGTGATGGCTGGAACTACAGCTGCCTTGGCAGGGCCAGATCGAATGATTTTGTATGTATATGGCCAGCGAGCCAGATGTTACATTCCCCACCCCTGCAAGTTTATCTAACTCCTTACCATTTACCCACCCAAACACCCAGGAAGGAACCCACTCTCTTAATTACTGCTCCCTCCCAATCCCCCGCCAATGAACTCACCCCAACTGTCCGCACCCACCCCTGGATGGTTCCAATCACAGCTTTCTTCTCTCCTCTACCAGGCTGCTCAGGGCAGCAGCGGAAAAATTCTCTCAAGACATGGGACTAACTTTAAATCTCTCTTGGTTTCTTTTGATAGATTTAAGGTCCTTTCAGTAGCATGCCAAAACACCAGCACTTACCTATTTCTACGTGTGTTGAAATGCCACACGATGAACCTGGAGGGCAGAGATAGGCTAGCACAAGCAGCAGGCAGGACCACCACCTGAAAACAGACATGCTCTTATCATCCACAGCTCCTAGCTGCGGATGGATGATGAAGTCTCAGTAGAAACCCACTGCCTTCTCCCTCAGCAGGCCACTGACACTGGAAACCCAGCCTCCTCTTCAAATATTGTTGTTTTCCAATGAAGTCAACTGTCCAACTACACCAGCGACACCAGAACAGCAAACAAACTCTGTCCATTTTAGAAAGGGGGGTGGGGGAGTGAGAAATTTATATCCAAAACTTACTGCCATTTTCCACTGAGGTTTTCTCTGGATTTCATCTTAACTTGAAGTTTGCACGGAGGCACAAACCAGGTTATCTCCAGATCTTTTTTTGCTTTCTAAAGAGACTCATCTGTCTTGATCAAGAATCACTATGTTTGGCTGCCTCACCTTATGAGTGCTGATGGTTCATAATACATCCTTTCCAATCATGTATCAGGTTGCCCTGCTCCCTCGGCTTCCGATGTCACAAATGCTGGGAGAGCTTGATGGTGATGACCTGGAACTGGCTTCTCGTTCACTCTTTGGCAACAGATACTGACACTAGTTTGTGATTTCACAAGAGCAACCCCAACTGGCCTGCCTACCTCTGGTTGTTCTCATAGGCCTTATCTAAAACCTGTTGCACGAGCAGTTTCCTGTAACCCAAGCAATGATGCTGACTTTATTTGGGGCAGAGTTAGGGCCAAGACATCAAGTTCTGGAAAATGTTAGACTCAGAATATATCAGTTATAAAGTATTCCATCAATAGCCCTGAACTACAGGAATAATTAGACTAATTAGATTAATCCCTTCATGGAAAATGATGGTGCTTTGAAAGCTCAAACCATGCATCTAGTTAAAAGTATAATCTCTTTTCTCTCATTGTTGTTAAGTGCCATCAAGTTGGTTCTGACTCATAGCGACCCTGTTCTGAGGAGTGGCTTATGGGTTTGAACCACGGACCTTGCGGTTCAAACCTACCTTTTAGTCCAGTGCTTATCTTATAGTGCCACACCAGGAGAAGTAAGAAAAAAAGGAAAAAAATACTCATTGCCGAATCTGATTCCAGGTGACCTTCTCTGTAGCAGAATAGAGCTGCTATGTAGAATTTTCTTGATTATAATCTTTATGGAAGCACGTTATCACTGGGTGCGTTTGAACTCTCAACCTCTAGGTTAATGTTGTTGTTGTTAGGTGCCATCGAGTCAGTACCGACTCATAGAGACCCTATGTATAACAGAACGAAACACTGCCTGGTCCTGGGCCAACCTCACAATTGTTGCCACGCTTGAGCCCACTGATGCTGCCACTTTTGCCAATCCATCTCGCGAGGGATCTTCCTCTTTTTCTCTGACCCTCCACCTTACCAACCATGATATTCTTCTCCAGAGACTGGTCCCTCCTGACAAAGTTCCAACTCATAATGACACATACAACTACATACAACAGAATGAAATACTACTTCACAGTCATTGCTATATTGGAGCCGACTGTTACAAACACAGCGTCAATCCATCTTGTTGAGAGAGTTCCTCTTTTTAAGTTAGTTGTTAAGTGCCATCTAGTTGATTCCGACTTGTAGAGACCCTGTATAGGGTTTCCAAGGAGCACAGTTCAAACAACTTTATAGTCTGACACATTAGCCCACAGCGCCACATCAGGACTCTTTTTAAGTTAGTTGTTGTTGTTGTTGTTATGTGCTGTGGAGTTGGTTCCAACTCATAGTGACCCTGTACAGGGTTTCCAAGGCTGTAATTCTTTACGGGAGCAGAAAGCCTCATCTTTCTCCCACGGAACATACTGGTAGTTTCGAACTGCTCACCTTGTGATTCGCAGCCTGATTCGTAACCACTACGCTACCAGAGCTCCTTAAGTTAGTAGTTGAACACAAATGTTAATGCCACCTGTTGTTGTTGTTGTTAAGTACTTTGGAGTCGGTTCCAACTCATAGTGACCCTGCACAGAGTTTCTGAGGCTGTAAATCTTTATGGAAGCAGAACGCCTCATCTTTCGCCTGTGGAACTGCTGGTAGTTTTGAACTGTTGACCTTGTGGTTGGCAGGCTGACTCGCAATCACTCCGCTGGTGGGAGGAAATGGTATTCAGTCTCAGGTTAGCCAAATGGAAGAGATCCATAGAGAAGATGGGATGGTTTGAGCTTCTCAGTTATCTGCCAAGAGTTTCCTCTGAAACCTTAACTCAGCCACCTGCAAAGTCCCCAGGTAAGGAATGCTGTAACTCTCCTCCGGTCCTAAAGCCACACATTGCTTCCGACTACTTATGGGCCAGAGGTCATAATCAGACATGGTTGTCTTGCTTACAGGGTGTTGTTTCTAGGTCGAGATTTTTTAAACAGGAAAATCCACATCGAAATCTAGACTTTTAGCTTCTCTTTACAAAACACAAAAACTGGCCTTATGAGCCAACATTCCCTGTGGCATGACAATCAGTGGCAGAGGAGCCAGCTGTCCCTGAGACAGAGTGTGCCTCACTGAGGTCCCCCAGCCCCCCAAATCCACAGAGTGTGTACACGCCCGACAGGCCACCATAGGCCTTTAAGCTTGCTTCCCTCTCACTCTGGGCTTCTAAAGTCTGTGAACAAGGTGGTGGCTGTTCTAGGAGTATCTTGGAGGTGGTAGCTGTATGCCATTGAGTTGGTTCTGACTCATAGCCCCCCTGAATAGGGTTTCCAAGGCTGTAAATCTTTACTGGAACAGAAAACCTCATCTTTCTCCTGTGGAGCAGCTGGCAGATTCAAACTGCTGGACCTCATGGTTAACAGCCCAACGTACAACCCACTTTGCTACCACGTCTCCCTATGAGTATCTTGTTGTTTTTGTTGTACATACTGTTGAGTAGTTCTGACTCATAGTGACCCAGTTTAGAGTTTCCAAGGAGCGGCTAATGGGTTTGAACCTCCGACCTTGTGGTCCAAAACAACTTTGCAGTCCAGTGCTTTATCCCACAGTACCACACCAGGACTCCTAATGAGTATCTTCAGACTCTGGACAACTCAGAATGTCCAAGAGTAATCAATCAGTTAAAGAGTCAGCAAAGGAAATAAATTATGTTGTTGGAAATATCTAACCATATTTAAATAAAACAAATGTAGCCAAAACCACCATAAATGGAAACGGGCTTAGGAGGAAAGCAATATTAAACTCAAGTTCTCATTATATATTTTTGTATTTAAGCTTCACACGTGATTTAATTTTGTTGGTTTAAGAATGTCTGCTAGAAAAGCCCATGAGCATAATAGAACAGTCTGAGAAGGAAGGAATTATTTACTTAGAGAGGAAGGAGAGTGTGATGGTTAGGAATAAGAACTTTATGTGACAATATTACTTGAATTTTTATAAAGTTTGTATTACTTTTGTAACCACAAATACAGCAAAGATATGGGTTTTAAATTAAAGTTAAACTATAGCTAACAATATTGTGTGGATTGCAATGGAAACTATCTGGTCAGATACATATAGAAATATTTTTCTTTCCACACCACCATACTCTTTCCTAATCCAGGTGGCTTTGTTATCAATAAGATGGTATGATTCTATCCTTTAGAACTTCTGTAAATACTGACAAAAGTTGAGAAATGAACATGCAGTTTACATTAAGGAAGAAGTAAGAAATACAGGCTGTAGAGCCTGAGCGCCTTCACTTGGTTCCCTGTTCTGTCTGCTACCTTCTATCTGTATGACCTTGGGCAAGTTGCTAAAATTCTCTATGCCTCAGTTTCCTTTTCTATAACATGGGGACAATAATAGCACTCACCTCATAAGGTTGCTGTGAGGATCAAATGTAAAGTACTTAGACTAGGACCTGGTATACAGTTAAGTGTTCAAAGCATGTTGACCATTATCATTCAAAGTTATTTTTTCCTCTCCTAGACTCATCACAGATCTCTACTAAGTATCTGCCTTCCTTATTAAACTTAAAAATAATTAACAAAATACCTGCATTCAGATATTCAGCAATGCAACTTTCATAACAATTGATATACAAGTATAAAGCAAAACTGGGTAAAGTTTTAAAAGCAAAGGTGGGTGTCCTTGTGCAGAAAAATAAAATACAATTTTCAAGTCTAGAAAGTTTTAAGATGAAGCATATAATTTCAGGTGACTTCACAGGAACATGGTGTCTTACAGAAAACAGGGGAGAGGATGGAGAAAAGAGAATTGGAAGCTGGGGTGTGCTCAGGATAAGAAAAAAGACCACTTGCCTGGTGGTCTTGTCTTTGTAGGACTCAATGAGCTACGAGGGACATCAGGGTCTAGAACTAAGACAGGATGCAGGAGGTGGGGAGGAACTGTTCCAACTCTGAATGGGGGCTTGTAGTGGGAACAAAGGGGTGTGAGCCAAAGTTGTGAATTTGCTAGTCCCTAAGCACTTTTGCCTCTGTGGGCCCTTACGTAGCACAGTGGGTTGGTTACATGTTGGGCTTCTAACAACAATGTCAGCAGTCTGAGTCCACTAGCCCCTCCAGTGGAGCAAGCTGAGGCTTTCTGCTCCCATAAAGATTTATAGCTTTGGAAACCCGATACAGGATTACTATGAGTCAGAACCAACTCGATGTCACACCACCACCACTATCACATCCATTAAAAAAAAATTAAAGATAATATTTTATATATGAATGGGTATGAATATGACTATATTGATATTTATCCTAAAAGCTCACTTGTGTGCTTCTAGAAGAGATTAAACTGAGTTTTGTGGACTGGTAAAACATGGTGGGCATGAGGCACAGAGCCTACTGTGTTTAATGGATAAATCAGTAGGGAAGGAGAGAAAGACCCACCACTTCAAATGGAACCTTAAAAAGATAAGCAACTAGAATCATTTCTGGGTCCGGGGATTCATAGTTGACATTTCTGGGCTCATTTTCTCAACTGAACTGAAAGATTTTCACACACTCTTGGAAATCAGATCTCAATAGTGTTTCCTCTGCCGGCTGCAGGTGTAAACAAGCCAGCACTTCAGTCTCAAGTGTGAAAACCACTTGGCAACTTCCCTTTCAGGACTTACACTGTCTCTTTCTCCCCAGTTACTTCAACAAAACATGGAATGAAAGAGTGACTACACACACACAAAACTAAACTCTACTGTTATCACTTCTCCAGCCACTTCTGACTCAAGACTACATAGTTCTGACAGAGCAAAACTAAGTCAAAATTTAAATTACTGCCTTGGCATTGTGCAATTTAAGAATTCAATGCCCTAGAAAAAGATGAAGATCCCACAGGCTCCAAAAAAGCTAGCAAGAGGCTCTCAACTCCGTAAGAACTGCAGTCCTATGTACAACATAATGAAGCACTGCTTGGCCTTACACCATCTGCATAATTCTGGCCTGGTTTTGCATCTGTTATGTCATTTTCAATGAGGGTCTTTCTCTCTTTTGCTGGCCCTCTTTTTCACACCAGCACCTGATGTGGCACTGTGGGTTAATGTGCTGGGCTGCAAAGTTGGTTTGAACCACAGGCAGGAGTCAAGCTCACCAGCGGCTCCTTGGAAACCCTATACAGGGTCGCTGCGGGTCGGAACCAACTCGATGACACTTAACAACAACAACAAATACCAAGCATGATGTCCTTTTTCAGGAACTGAATCGTCTTGACGACAGGTCTTAATTACGTAAAATGAAGTCTTGCCATCCTTGCTTCTGAGGAACATTCTGTTCTTTTTCCAAGACAGATTTGTTTGTTCTTCTGGCAGTCCGTGGTACCATCAATATTCTTCATCGATAACCATAATTCAAAGGCATCAGCTCTTCTCTGGTCTTCCTTACTCATTGTCCAGTTATCTCATGCATATGAGGCTACTGAAAATACCATGGCTTGGGTCAGGAGCATCTTAGTCCTTTTTAACACTTTAAAGAAGTCTTTTACAGCAGATTCTCACAATGCACTATGTCATTTGATTCCTAAATTCCTGCTTTCAGGGGCATTGATTGTGAATCCAAGTAAAATGAAATCCTTGACAACTTAAATATTTATTTTCTGAAAAATTTGACTTCTATCATGTTACTTATTGGTCCAGTTGTGAGGATTTTTGTTTTCTTTATATTGAGGTAAAATTCATACTGAAGGCTGGATCTTCATCAGTTAGGAAGTCACAGATGCTTTGTTTTCAGCAAGCAAGGCTGAGTCATCTATATATCAGAAGTTGTTAATAAGCATTCCTCCAATCCTGATGTCTCCTTCTTAATATAGTCCAGCTTTACAGATTATTTGTCCAGTATACAGATCAAATAAAGTGACATTAACATGCCTAATCATATAACCTTGATTGGTGTCCTAGTGTTGAGCTGTAGGATAACCGTGAGGTCACCGGTTCAAATCCATCAGCCACTCTCCTCTAATAGTTGCTCCCGGGAAACCCTGTAGAGGGTGGCTATGAGTTGGAACGACTCCACAAAACTTACCAACAACAGCATACCTTGACTGAGTCAGTTCTGACAAACGGTTCCATTTACTTGTTGATTGTGTGTGTAACTTACATTTCTCAGTGGATTGACTCAGGACTACTGTGACTTTGAGCAGAAACTGTACAACACATACCTCGTTATCTCACAACAAGCCTAGGAGTAGGCATTACTGCACTGCACAAAAGAGATGAATGAGGTCACACAATTTGTCAGCAACAAATCATGACTTTGGACCCAAGTCTGTTAGTCTCTAAGACTCACTGTTACATATCAGGGGCAACTCCGCTCCCAATTATTTAGTAGAACAGCTATAAACCCAGACAACTTGCCTAGTGGCATGACGCTAAGAATCTTCACCCCAAATCCTGTAGCTGAAGTGATGGAGAAAGGTCATCATGTCTTTGGCAGCAAGTGCCAGCGCATCTATGAACCAACCTTTAGTGAGGGAGATGTCGAACTTGGGGGACCAAGTTTTCAACGGTCTTTCCCTGATGTTGGGGGTTAAAGACTAGGATAAATGAGCACCTATTCGAGAGAAAACTGGTGACGACGGATAGCAGATGCGTCTCCTGGAGAGCCTTCCCGAGCCCCTGTCCCAAATCTTTCCAGGGAAAGGTCTCCTCACTATGCTCAGAGCAAGCTCTAGAGTCTGGTGAGACCGTGCAGCGCTAAGGACTCGGGAGAGGGCGCTCCTCCGCGTCACAGCAACCTTCAGCCCGCGTCCTCCACCGCCCCCTTCCTTCCCTGCCGCCTCGTCTCTCCTCTCGACACCCCGCAGCCCTGTCGTCTGCCGACCCGGCGCTCGCCTGCGCGCGCGCGCTCGCTCGCTTGCCTGCTTCCTACCGACGCCGCCGCCGCCGCTGCTTCTAGGGCCCGGACCATGGCGATATGCTTTCTGCTGCGGAGCTGCAGGGCCCAACGCCTCCTGCAGGCGCCTTCTGTCTGTTGTCCCCGCCTCCTCGCCGGCTGCCTGGGGCCCTCCACGCGACCCACGCCAGGCTCGGCCCCGCTCCGCAGCTTTGCCGGAGGCCTGGTGGGCCTTCCCCCGGCGCTGCTGCGCACCGACGGGTTCGTGGGCGGTCGCTGGCTCCCGGCCGCCGCCACCTTCCCAGTGCACGACCCGGCTAGCGGCGCCGCGCTGGGCAAAGTGGCCGATTGCGCGGCGCCGGAGGCCCACGCCGCTGTGCGCGCCGCCTACGAGGCTTTCTGCATCTGGAAGGGGGTCTCGGCCAAGGTGAGAGTGCACTGGGTACCGCGGGCAGAGCTGGCTGGGGAGCAGAGAGCGCTTTGCCTCAAAGTAAAACCAGCCGTGTAGTTTGTTCTCCTCTCCACTGCTCCGGGGTACACCATGCGGAAAGCCATGGCAACAAGAAAAGAGATGATCAACGAATACTTTTACAGTGCTTTTTGGCAGACTCTGTGCCAAGCCCTAGGAACATGACCCTTGACCTCACGCACATGAAGTCCAGTAGGGAAAAGAGAACACGGCACGTAATTACAAATGAGCTGAATGTTACTGTGAACATGCAGATGAGGCGTGACCGTGTGAATGGTGGAAGAAGGCCGTCAGGGAAGGTTGAGAAAACCCGCGGTTCTCAAATACCTCCCCGGGTGCTAGGAGAACCTGCGGGAAGCTGGTGCAGTGGTCCAGGAAACCGTTGGCCCTGGGCTAACGTAATGGAGTTAAGAGTGGAGAGATCAGGAAGGGAGACCTCCCGGATGATACTCCTGGTGTTCAATATGAATTGCTTTTGTTAAGTGCCTTCCAGTCGGTTCCGACTCTTAGCGAATCTGTATAGGATTTCCAAGGAGCGGCTGAAGAGTTTGAACCACCCACCTTGCGGCAGATAAACAGAAAAAATAGCCCTGTTGGTGCGGTTAAGTTCTTAGCTGATAACCAAAAAGTTGCTTGTTTCAGCCCACCAGTGATTGCGTGGGAGAAAGAAGCAGTGTGCTTCTGAAAAAATAATAGTCTTACGAACGCTGCGGGGCAATTCTACTCTGACCTTCAGTGTTGGTATGGTTCAGTATCGACTCCCTGGCAATGGGTTTGGGATAACCGAAAAACAAACCAGTTTGTACTCATGGCGACCCCAAGTGTACAAAGTAGAACTGCTACGGTTTTTAAAGCTGTCATCTTTTGGAAGCAGATTTCCAGGTTCAGGCCTTACAAGTTCAAGTCTCTGTGGCCAATATCGGAGACGGGGGTGAGACATTTTATTGATAGATCTGGAAGGCAGCAAGAATCCTTCTCTGAAAGACCGCCTTCCTCTTCCCGTCTAGGTCTCAGTCTGTCTGCAGTGCTGAACTCTGTTCTCAGAGTTTTATGGCTCTCTCATTGGGGAATACAGTGTGTGTCTCATTGAGTCCTGGCACTTTACATCCTGGGACTAGATTGCCCCAAACAATGTTAATGGCCTTATTGGAAACCTTTGTCTTAAAGTTACATGTTTTAAGGGATGAGAGATGGTGGCCTTTGGGTATTCCTCAGGCTTGTCTTCTTATCCTAGGTTTAAATCAACAAGGCGGCAATAAATCCTTATCCTGTCTGTTCCTGGAGCACCAGGTTAGTCAGGGCAATAATGACTGGGAGGGATGATTAAAAGAGTTTCAACAGAGAGGGAAAATATTTATTAACCCTTCTGTCAGCATCTCTGGACTCCTGGTGCTGTAGGATCAGCACTGGGCTGCAAACCACAAGATCGACAGTTCAAACCTGCCATCTGCTCCTTGGAAACACTATACAGGGTTGCTATGAGTAGGAACTGACTCAACATACCTCTGGATACGTCCGAACTGCCAGCCAAGAGCTTAACTGCTTGTATCACCCATGTTGTTGTTAAGTGTCATTGAATCAGTTCCAACTAATAGCAACCCTGAATAGGGTTTTGAGGCATATAAATCTTTGCGGGAACAGAAAGCTTCACCTTTCTTTAGCCTGGCTGCTGGTGGAGAGCAGTACTTATCCTATGGAGTCACCATGTGCCCTGTGCCACCTATTTTGTTGTTGTTGTTAAGTGCTGTCCAGTCTGTTCTGACTCATAGCAACCCAGTATAGGGTTCCCAAGGAGCAGCTGGTGGGTTTGAACCGCCAACTTTGTGGTTCATAGTCCAGTGCTGACCCTACAGCGCCACACCAGGAGTCCTGCACCACCTATTTTGTTGTTAAATGCCATTAAGTTGGTTCTGACTCATAACAACTCTATACAGGGTTTCTGAGCAGCAGCTGGTGGGTTTGAACTGCCAACCTTGTGATTCGCAGTCTAGTACTGATCCTACAGCACCAGCAGATGCTGGTATTTATTTTTTGGCTTAGAGGACACTGGAGAATTGAAGTGGAGGATATAGATGGAAAATGAGTAAGAAAAAAACAACTTGAGAGTTTCTTCCTCCTTTTATCATAGTACACCTAGCGTATAATTTTAACCAAAAAATCAAACCATTACCATCGAGTCAGTCCTGGCTCATAATTTCATCTCTTCTCCAACCTCTGAAATTAAGAAAATTTAAGCCAGCACAGTGAAATCATTTTCTTTGTGCTTCAGAATCCTTGCTCAGATTGTTTGCTTCGGGCCTTCTATATGCTATGCCTTTGTGATTATATGGAGTCCTGGCATGGATACTAAGGTCAGTTTGAACCGTAAGGTTGGCGGTTCAAACCCTTCAGCCGCTCCTCAGAAACCCTATACAGGGCTGCTATGAGTTGGAACCGACTCAACAGCACTTAACAACAACCAGTCAGAAAGAGTCTGCCTCTCCTTCCTGGTCTATCTTTGTCTGGAACCTCTGCTGAAGCCTGGGTGACCCTGCTGGTATCTAAAATACCAATCATATAGCTTCCCAGCAACACACAAGCCACCACAGTATGACAAACTGACAGACAAGTGGTGAAGAGAAGAGGAACATTGTCCCATAAAAAATGCTGGAAGATGAGCCCCCCAGGTTGGAAGGCACTCAATGTGTGACAGAGGAAGAGCTGCCTTCTAAAGTAGAGTTGTCCTTAATGAGTGGATGGAGTTAAGCTTTCAGGACCTTCATTTGCTGATGTGGCACAACTCAAAATGAGCTGCAAGCATCCATTAGGAGTCAGTCAGAACCTGGAATGTACAAAGTATGAATCTAGGAAGTTTTGAAGTTATCAAAAGTGAAATGAAATGCATACAGATTGATGTCCTAGGCATTAGTGAGCTAAATGGACTGATAGTGACTATTTTTAACCATACGACCATATGGTTTACTATGCCAGGAACTACAAATGCAAGAGGAAGGGCAACACATTCACTGTCAAAGAGAACGTTTCAAGCTCTGTCCTCAAGTACAATGCTGTCTGTTCTACCATCTTTTTCCATTTGAAATTGATCAAACATGCAATCAGGATGCATGTTTAGTTAGAAGCACTGGACCACAGATCAGTTTGAACCACAAGGTCGGGGGTTCAGACTCAACAGCTGCTCCTCATAAACCCTATACATGGTCGCTATGAGTCCGAGTTAACTCTGGCACTTAACAACGACATAGTCATGTGCATTTGAAACTAGGGTAGTGACTGAGAATGGACCATGAACTGATCCATGATGCCTCAGGGGCCCAGGGCTGGTCCACACGCTTTGTCATGTATGTCTCATGAACAGCTTTTTCCTGTTGTCTCACATCTTCGTTTTCACATATCTTGTGTCCTCCTTTTCCCTATGTGAAAACTTCTAAAGGGCAGGAATGAAAAAAACAAAACAACTAACCCATTCCCATCCACTCAATTTCAACTCTTGGCAGCTGCATGTGTATCAGAGTAACGCTGTGTTTTCTAGGATTTTCTTGGCTGAAATCTTTATGGAAGCAGAGCATAAGGCTTTTCTCCCACAGTGCAGCTGGTGAGTTTGAACCAGGACTTTGAATTGGTTCATTATAATTCAACTTCCTATTGAAATTTTGCATCTCCACTCCAGAGATACTGAACCAGAATCTACAGTGTAACAAGATTCCTGCAAGATTCTTATGTTACATGAGCATCACCTCAGGATCTATAAGAATCATGTTACGTGCCATCAAGTCGGTTCCAACTCAGCGACCCTTTATAGGGTTTCTGAGGTGCAACTAGTGAGTTTGAACTGCCAACCTTGTGATGATTCAAACTGACCTTGAGGTCCCGTGCTTGTACTACAGCACCACAGTAGGATACATATCTGGGATTCTGGAATAGAAATGCAAATTATCAGCAGGAGGTCTAACTGCAATGAGCCGGTTCAAAGACCTAATTTGAAGCACAACCTTCAGGTTGTTGTTGTTGTTAAGTGCTGTTAAGTCGATTCTGATCCATAGTGACCCTGTATAGTGTTTCTGAGGAGCAGCTGGTGAGCTTGAACCACCGACCTTGCCATTCCAATGGCTTTGCAATCTGACACATTAGTCCACAGCACCACACCAGGACTAGTTGTTAAATGCCTGAGTTAGTTCTGACTCATGGCAACCCTGTATAGGGTTGCCAAGGAACCGATAGTGAGTTTGAACTGCTGACATGGGGGTTAGTAGCTGAGAACAAACCTTTGCACTAGCTAGCCAATGGAAGAGAATTGATATTCATTCTTTTTTTTTTTTTAATTTTTATATTGTAAATTGAGTTAAGATCTTCAGTTTTACATTCAATAAATCATACTTTGCTTCATTAATGATTGCAATCCCCTCTATATACCATCAGTTAATAATATTTACCACTTTTTACTTTAACTCTTGCATGCCCCCCTGTGTCTACCACTATCTTCATCTATCCTCTGCCAACCTCCCACTTGTTATATATTGCCTGCCCTGTCACCCATGTTAACTCTCTAGCCCATGACTAATTTTCCCTCCCTACCACCCCTGGGACCATTGTACAATGTTCTTTTTATCAAGAAACCTTTTCTTAACTTTTCACAACGTTGGTCTCATACAATATTTGCCCTTTTGTGATTGACTAATTTTACTCAGCATAATGTTCTCCAGGCTCATCCATGTTGTGAGGTGTATTGCAGACTTATCATTATTCTTCAGTATTGCATAGTGTTCCATAATGTGACGTACCAGAGTTTTGTTTAGCCATTCTCTGTCCATGGGCATTTAGGCTGTCTCCATCTTTTGAATGTGTCTCTCTTTTGTGTGTGTGTGTGTGTGTGCACAAGACAGTGGAAACGACGTTTATTATTAAACTATAAATTAGGCGGGCAGCAGGGAGAGCGGCCGTCACGTCCTGGGTGCCTGCTCTCTCTCTCTCTCTGTCCTCCTGGGCTTGGATTTTGAGTTCCCCATCAAGGCGCTCCTTTGCTCGGACCACCTTGGACTGCAGGTAGAAGGAGCCTCCCACAGATTTGTCGTTCACCTTGAACAAGTGTTCATAGTTCTTCTGGATGTCCTCAGGACTCAGCTTGGAAATATTGAGAATCTACTGGGCCTCTTCCAGGCTGAGGCCAGAGAGGTTGGAGGCAGCAGCTGACTGGTGGCTGACACGGCCTTGGGCATCAGCAGCTGCCTTGCTGGCTGCAAATTCCTGCCGCAGGGGCTGGACAAAGGCCCTGCCCACCACCTGCACGCTCTTCACGATGATCTGGGCCAGGTACTTGGCCACTGCGGCCACTCTGCCACCGGATGGGAGACCGGCTCTGACATCCCTGGACCCACGGCCCCGGCTCAAGGGCGGCCTTAAATGTGTCTCTTATAGACAGCATATTGAAGGAGCCTGTTTTCTTATCCAATTTACTACTCTCTGTCTCTTGATTGGTTCATTTAATCAAATTACATTCAGTGTAATTATTGACAGGTATGAATTGTGTGGATCATGACAAGCTATGGACAGTATTGCAAAATATGAAGTAATTCAGAACACCTAATTGTGCTCATGAGGAACCTGTACACAGACCAAGAGGCAATTGTTCAAACAAAACAAGGGAATACCAGATAGTTTAAAATTAGGAAAGCTGTATGCCAGGGTTGTGTTCTTTCACCATACTTACTCAATCTGTATGCTGAGCAAATAATCTGAGAATCTAATTTATATGAAGAAAAACATAGTATCAGGATTGGAGGAAGACTCATTAACAACTTGTGATATGTAGATGATACAACTTTGCTTGCTGAAAGCAAAGAGGACTTGAAATACTGATGAAGATCAAAGAGCACAGCCTTTGGTATAAGTTGTATCTCATTGTAAAGAAAACAAAAATCCTCACTACTGGACCAATAAACAACATCCAAATAAATGGAGAAAAATTGAAGTTATCAAAGACTTCAACCATTAACACTCATGGAAGCAGCAATCAAGAAACCAAAGGTTTGCATTAGGCAAATCTGCTGCACAAGACCTCTTTAAAAAAGTGTTGAAGAGCAAAGATGTCAACTTGATGACTAAGGTGCTCCTGACCCAAGCCATGGTATTTTCAGTAATCTCATGTGCATGCAAAACTTGGACAGTGAATAAGGAAGACCAGAGAAGAATTGATACATTTGAGTCATGGTGTTAGAGGAGAATATTGAAAGTACCATGAACTGCCAAAAGAACAAACAGATCTGTGTTGGAAGAAGTGCGGCCAGAATGCCCCTTGAAAGCCAACATAGCCAGACTTCGTGTCTCATACTTTGAGTGTATTTTCAGAAGGGACCTTTCATGTTTGGGAAAGTGGAGGGTCAGAAAAAAAGAGGAAGACCCCTAACAAGATATACTGGCACAGTGGTGGCAGCGATGGTTTCAGGGTTAGCACTGACTGTGAGGTTGGCACAGGACCGGGCAGTGTTTCGTTCTCTTGTGCCTAAGGTTACTATGCGCTGGTACTGACTCACTGACACCTAACAACAACATGAATTGATTGCTGTCATTTTGCTGTGTGGTGGGTTTTTTTTTTTTTGTAGTTTTGCTGATTTCTTTGCGCCATAATTTTTTGCACTAAATTCATTTTGTTTGTGGGTTTTCTTTTCATATTCATTTCTATTGGGATAATGTTTAGTAAATCTTTCTGATTTTCCTCTTTTTTTATTTTTATGTGAAGATGTATTCATTTTCCCTGTCATTTATTAATTTTTTCCCCATTTAGAACAGTCTTTTTATTGTGAAGTCTCTTTAACTTCCTCACTATTTGGAAGTTCTGTATTTATATTATTTCTTTTTGTTTTGCAGTTGACACCATTATATATTGTTATCTCTCTTTCCCTTTTTTCAGTCTCATAGGTTTTACTTTAATATTTGTTTACTATAGTTGTAAGGTAAGCACTGGACTACAAGGTTGTTTGAATCACAAGGTCGGTGGTTCAAACTCATCGGCTGCGCCTCAGAAATGGTATACAGGGTCACTATGAGACAAAACTGACTCAACAGCACTTAACAACATGTTGTTGCTGCAGTTAAGTACCATGGAGTCAGTTCCGACTCATAGTGACCCTGTACAGGGTTTCCGAGGCTGTAAATCTTCATGGGAGCAGAAAGCCTCATCTTTCTCCAGCAGAACTGCTGGTAGTTTTGAACTGCCAACCTTGAGGTTAGCAGCCCGATTCGTAACCACTACACTACCAGAGCTCCTTTAACAACACATAGCTGCTGTTAAAATTTATCACTAATTTAGTAACTTAAAGCAACACGAATTGTCTCACAGTTCTAGAGATAAGGTCTGGAATGGAACTCATCCTCACAGTCCAATTTTCAGCCAAACAGTTGATATGTTTATTAGGAGGGGACAACAACACTAGTGAGGTCTGCTCACCATGGAATGAATGGTCAGTCATTCAAAGTCAAAGGAACAGCATATAGCTAAGGACAAAGCTGAGAAGGGATGAGAAGATGGCTGGAATGGAAGTAGGAAATCACAGGGAGGAAGCGGGATAACGTTTGTGGCATGGAGCGTTTGGTAATCATTGCGATGAAACAAAGTATATGATGCATTGAATGTAAAGCTGATGATCTTGTCTGTAAACCCTCACTCAATTCATAATAAAAAGTTAGGAAACTAAATGAAAAGTTGGTGGTTCGATGTCACCCAGAGGTACCTTGGAAATAAAACCTGGTGACCTACTTTTTAAAAAATCAGCCACTGAATACCCTGTGGAATACAGCTGTATCGTGACGTGACACACATGGGGTCACCATGGGTCAGAACCAACTGACCAGCAACTAACATGCCTATAGATACAATTGAAATTGAAGCTTTGTTCTTATTCATAAAAAAAGTATTGATGCATTTCCCCCCAGAATGAAGCCATGCAACTATTATGTTAAGAAATTGAAGATTATTTAATAGTTGGTCTTACACTGGGTAGTTCATTATTTCTATACCTTTTTATTTCTCTTTCAGGAAAGGAGTTCATTACTTCGAAAGTGGTATGACTTAATGATACACAATAAGGATGACCTTGCTAGGATTATCACAGCTGAAAATGTAAGTGCAAGGGCCTGGTTTGCAAACACAAGAAATTATCCCGGAATTCTTAGCCTAAAAGTTCGCAAAATTATCTAAATTCTTGCCAGGTATGGAATCATCTTGCCTAAAGCAGTTTGTCCTCTGTATGTTGTTTTTAGCAATACTAACGCCTGACGCCAGTGGGTAGAGACTGACTAGCTCCCCCCACCTCCCATGCTGATGGGACTCCTGAGGCATGATGAAATCTACCCTGGCCACATGGTGAGGCTGTTCAGAGGCCTGAACCCTGAGGTTCCAATGGCTCTTCCTAGTTGTTGCCCATGCACTGGAGAGGGTAGATGTCCATCTTTGGAACATGGAAACTCAGTGCTGTGACCCCTTTCAGACCTCACCTTATGTGTCTCTTTGTGACCTTTATTTAAATAGGCCTGTGATCAGAAACAAGGATCTCTGATGGTGCGATGGGTTAAGCTGACTCTAAGATCAGTGGTTCAAACCCACTAGCCTCTCCTCATGAGACAGATGAGGCAGTCTGCTTCCAAAAAGATTAACAGCCTGGGAAAGCCTAGGGGAACTTCTGCTCCGTCCTATGGGGTCACTGTAAGTCAGAATTGGCTTCAAACTGCTGGCCTAGAGTTCTATTGAAATAAAAAGGTCATCAGATATCAAATAATCAGCTTGGCAACCACAAACATTTTCTTATAAACTGAGCCCAACACTCGGATTTACTAAAACAAAATCTGCATGTTATGGTTTATTTAATAATTGACAGAGAATAGATTTTGGGGAGAAACATATGCCTGCCGCTTTTTCACCATTCCATTTTTTTCCCCTTTGTACCTTGTTTTGTATTCATTGCTTTTGTTGTTTTCATACATTTTAAACAGTACCATTCATTCTTTGATAGCTATGATAAAATACCCTATGTTGGTGCTGGAGGGTCAGTATTGACTGCTAATGGTAAGGTCAGCAGTTCAAACCCATCAGCCGCTCTCTGCAGGAGCGTGACGAGGCTTTTCCTAGCTTAAAGAATTACAGCCTTGGAAACCCTGCATAGGTTCACTGAGTCGGATTAGACTCAATGGCAGTAGGCTTTTATACCGTGGTCAAAACATTTAGAAGGTGTTGGAAGGAGAAAGAATTATCAGAGCAATTCTAGGCATCTCCTCCTAATTCGGAAGCATAGTGAGAATACAAATGACTTTACTGTGGTTCAGGGTAGTGCAGCCACGATTAGATTATAACCCTCCTCATTTGTCATTCTGCTTTCTAGAACTTACAACAAAGTTACACATTTCTTGATGACCCTATGGATTTTGGAATGTTCTCATCTGGAGTTAGGAAACTTCTATGCTGCTTGGAACCTTAAAGTCATAATGTTTGTATTACTAACCACTCCAGTTACCATCAAGTCGACTTACAGTAACGCCATGTGTGACAGGGTTTTCACTGGTTGCCTTTTCCGAAGTAGATCTCCAGAACTTTCTTCCGAGGTGCCTCTGGGTAGACTTAAACCTCTGATCCTTTAGTTAGCAGCCATTTGTATCACCCAATGACTCCGTTTTTAGTATTAGATGATAATGTGCAAGTATGTGTCCTTTTCTGATTTAATTTAGGGAAAACCGCTGAAGGAGGCTCAGGGAGAAGTTCTCTATTCTGCCCTCTTCCTAGAGTGGTTTTCCGAGGAAGCCCGCCGCATCTACGGAGATATCATCTACACCTCAGCGAAAGACAAGAGGGGCTTGGTCCTCAAGCAGCCTGTGGGTGTGACTGCAGTCATCACCCCGGTATGTGGCAGGGTCAACTCAGTCCTGGGGTAGGAGATGGGGCTGGGACACAGGAAACAAGTCCTTCCTCCTTGTAAAGATGTGGACTCATCCTGTTATCTCTGTCACCTGTTCTTGGTTTCCTGAGTCCTTTGCTGGCACAGAGGTGTGTTTCCTGGTCCTTTGTGAAAATAAATGTTAGGTGTGGTGGCAGCAAGTGGGCATGTTTCCCAGTGCCTGTGGATGTGGGGTAACCCCAGTGGACTTTTGTGACTTGCATAAAGGCTTTTTTCCCTGGTATTGCCTAGCACTTCTAAAAAGATCTCCTGGTATTTATCATTTGTAGATACAATGCCGTTTTAAAACATGCAAAGCCGACTTTAAAAAATGTATTTTCTTATGGTTAAAATATCTATATACAAAACTTTTGCCAAATCATTTTTTTTTTTTGCATGTCCAGTTCGGTGCCATTGATTGTATTCATCCTGTTGTACAACCATTCCCCTATTTTTTCACTACTATTAACAGAAACTCAGTGCCCCATGAGCACTGACTCCCTTTTACTCCCTCCGTTCCACCCCTGAACATCACCAATAAACTTTGGTCTCTGTACATTTGCCTATTTTAAATATTTCATAGAAATGGGAGCATACAGTATGTGTTCTTTTGTGACAGTCTTAGTTTACTCAGAATGCTTTCATGGTTTATTCATGACAAATTATTTTTTAAGAGGTAGGTTTAATGTATGGTTATCATGAACAACTAAACATTGTTGTTCCTACCCAACAGGCCCTGGGTCATGTTCTGTAGGTGGAATGAGATAAGAAGTAAGATCTTGAGTCTGGCTGGAATGGGTGCAGTATACTTGTTGAGGATTCAGCTTTCTCATTGGACAACCTTTCTTAGACTACTTGGTTTCATAATTATTTCTCTACAGTTTCTGCTTTGTTGTTGTTAAGTGCTGTTGAGTCACTTCCGACTCATAGTGACCCTGTGTAGGGTTTCCAAGGAGCAACTGGTGGGTTTGAACTGCTGACCTTGTGGTTCACAGTCCAGTGCTGGTCCTACAGCACCACACCAAGAGTCCTGGTCTCAAAACCACTCTTCCCATCCTTCTCAGATAGTGACTGACAGATGCCCTCCTTCTACTGTCTAGACTGACTAGGTTGGACTCAGATCTGTTCACTAGTTGTATGACTTTTGGCAAGTTACTAACTTGGTCTCAGGCTTTTCCAAACCTACAAATGAAGCTGATAATACCAACCTCATTGGGTTATGATGGGGAATTCTAATTTTCAATTGCTTAGAACAAACACTATATATTTGTCTATTATAATAAAATTAAATATTATTCTTACAGATGTGAGTATATCTACAAGAAATGTAGATTTATATGAGAAGATCTTTAAAAGTCTGTAGAAAGTTTCCCTTGTCTTTTAATTCCTTTTTTCCACAAAATTTCTGAAGTTCTCTCCTATATGCATGTATATATAAATCAGCAGTCTAGTGCTGATATATATAGATATAGATATATGCATATATATCCCAGCACTGGACTGCGAACCTCATGGCTGGCACTTCAAATCCACCAGCTGCTCCTTGGAAACCCTATACAGGGTTGCTGTGATTCGGAACCAACTCAATGGCACTTAACAACAACAACAACAACATAAACACGTGTAGAGATGGAAATAGTAAATCATGAGCTGTTTTTAAAGTCACCTTTGCTGTTGGGTTCTCCCAAGTACGTAGCTCAGGAGCCATCAAACTAAAGCTCACAGGTCAAATTCCATCCAGTACCTGTTTTTGTAAAGTTTTATCGGAATATAGCCACACCCATTTTTATACTTATTACCTGTGACTGTTTTTGTGTTAACAACCATAGTGTTCAAGTAGTGTGACAGAAACTGTATGTTCCCCCAAAGCCTTAGATATTTGCTATCTGGATCTTTACAGAAAAAGATTTCTGACCCCAGTATACTTGATTTTGTACTGTTTTAAATTCTGAAAACGTTCAGAAACGTTGCCTCTCAAGATGGCAGGTGGCAAGTGTTCTATGAACTCACCTGTGCAAGAGCCAGAGAACAGCTTTTCCAATCAGTTGTGCAGTAGATGTATTGACTGACTTCCTTTGGACTAGGAAATGTATTAACTAACTTCCTCGCACATATTTCCTCTGCCCTATGACCCTAGTGGAATTTTCCCAGTGCTATGATTACCCGGAAGGTGGGGGCCGCCCTGGCAGCCGGCTGTACCGTGGTGGTGAAACCTGCCGAAGACACGCCCTTCTCTGCCCTGGCACTGGCTGAGGTGAGTCTCTTCCTAGGCTGTGCAGAGCTGGCAAGGTCTGAAAATGGATATTTATCTGGCACATCAAGAAGCCCTTTTTCTGTCTTCTTCTTTGTCTACATCTTATACTGCCTGGTCTTCTGTTTTAATAGACTGGGAATTTTTTTAGTCAGATGTTCTTTTCAGAAAAAAATGAATGTATTATTTAGGCTAAGAAGAGGAAGACTCTCAGGAGATGGATTAACATAGTGGCTGCACCAGTGGATTCAAAGATCATCATTATTATGAGGATGGCACAGGACCGGGCAGTGTTGTATTTTGTTGACCGCAGGGTCACATGAGTCGAAACTGATGAGATGGTACCTAACAACACCAACCAGCCATCATATTCCTAGGAATGTGTCTACATTGTGGGGTTCTGTCCCATCTAGGAAACTCCTAGTTACCATTCCCTTCCCCTGTTGTCACCCAGATCTCATTCTTCTGTTTAAAACCATCTAATGGTTTATTGCTTCTCGTGTCATGCGAAGGAAAATCCAGACTCCCTACAGGGGCTTTCTGGGCTCTGAGCTCCTCTGGAAGTAGCGCCCTATTCAGCCACTCTGGCCACTCTTCAGCTCCTTGGTCCAAAACAGGCTTACTCCTTCCTCTGGCCTTTCCATGTGCTCTTCCCTCTGTCTGAAAGCTCTTCACTCAGGCATCCCTGTGACTTGCTTCTTCAAGCCTTCACTTCAATGCCACCTTCTCAAGGAAGTCTTTTCTGACTTCCTTGATTAAAAATTACAACCGCCCACTCTTGCACTCTTAATCCTCCCTCTCTGTGTTGTTGTTGTTTTTTACAGCACTTGACACCATCCAAATACCAGATGTCATGTTTATTTACTTTTGCTAATTATCCTCCCCCACCAGAATGTAAGCTTTGTGAAGACACGGCCTTTTATCTGTTTTGTTCTCTGCTATGTTCCAGAGCCTTTAGAATAGTGCTTGGATGTAGGAGACAGTGAATAATTTTGGAAGGAAGGAAGAATGACTAAATGAAGGAAGGGAGAGAGGGAAGGAAAGAAGGAATTCGCAGTTAGAACTCACAGCCACTGGTCCAAAGTGTGGTGAGACGTGGGGACTCCTGAGCCCATGGACAAGGAGGGCTAGAGCTGAGAGTGAAGCATCCAGCCGACATTAAGTGGAGGGAGATGCACAGGAACTCCTAAACTTGCAGATATTACCCATTTGACCTAGCCTTGATGGCTTGATAATCAGAACTCAACTAGAGAAAGATTTAAAAAAACAAAAAACAAAACAATTTTTGTTAAAGGAAACAAGTGTAAATTGCTGTAGTTTGGTAAACTTGACCTATATTTATGGATGTTGTTGTTATGTGCCATGGAGTCAGTTCCAACTCATAGCAACCCTGTGCAGGGTTTCCAAGACTGTAAATCTTTACGGGAAAATACCAGCTAAGAGGGAAGGAGTCTTCACATCAAGTACCAATCCTATCCCCTCTGTGTACAGGGTAGATAGGGACAGGCAACTTAGACATTGGCTACCTAAAATGAGGGGATGATAAAGGCACAAAGTGACTAGCTTACAAGGTTTCAAGAGGGAGTTTAGTTTAAGAGTGTGGGGGAGAAGAAAGAGTCCCCACTGAATAGTTTTCATCTCGTCTAGACGGGTCTGGCGAAAAGAGATGGGGATAAGATTCTTATGATTCAATAGTGAGTAATTGCTATCATGACTAATTGCAACTGTCACAACTGTAAAGGTAGAAGTTTTGTAACAAAAACAGAGTAGTAGTTAATCTTACGGTCCAGAAACAGAGGACCCTAGGACCATCAAGGGAGAAGAGCATGAGCAGAATGCAGCACCTTATCCACAGAAGCAGTGACACCAGAGATGGAGGCAGAGATGAGAACATGGAGAGATAGAGCAGCTGAGGACTCTAGACTCATGGAAAGAGAAAGGCTGTGTGCTTGCGGCCAGGAGGCAGGGTTGCAGAATGTGCCCTTTGGTTGTTTAAACGATTATATATTCCTGAGTGCTTTTGTGTACATCCTTCACCTCACCCCCGAAAAAAACAGCAAATGCTGTTGAGTGATGATACACGGAGGAGATTGTAATCATTGCAATGAAACGATGGTGTTAAGCCGATGTTCTTCCATGTAAATTATCACTCAGTTCACAATTTTAACAAAAGTAACCCACAGCCACTCATCATGATGTTGGATCTCCTGATCTTACCTCGTATCTCAGCCTTTCCTGTGTCAGAACCCTCTTCTATTTCTATTCCATGAGATGCTGCTTTTCTGTGGTTAGACAAAGCAGCTTTCAACTCCCAGACATAACCAGCATCATAGGGACTGTGGGGAGTCCCTGCACTTGCTTTTCTCAGTTCTCTGAGACCTGGTGCAGCTCCAGACTCCATGACTGGAAACGCCTCCCCTTAGGGGCCATGCTCCCAAAGGACACCTTGTTTCAGAGGCAAATCATTCATTTGAGTCATTCAGTAACATTAACTGAATTGAGGCTTTTTTGTAGATGGGCTATTAGACTTTTTTTATACTTTACCTTTTTCTTGTGTCATGTTTGAGTTCATCTTTTTATTAGATTCCTTGAGTATAAATAAAAATGTTAATTAAGGATGCTGTTGTCAGGTGTCCTCGAGTCAGTTCCAACTCCTAGTGACCTGATGCACAATAGAACGAAATACTGCCCAGTCCTTATGTGAGCCTCACAATTGTTATTAATCTTGAGCCCATTGCTGCTGCCACTGTGCCAGTTCATCTTGTTGTGGGTCTTCCTCTTTTTTGTTGACCCTCCACGTTTCCAAGCATAACATCCTTCTCCAGGGACCAGTTCCTCCTGATAATATGTCCAAAGTAATGAGAGACAAAGTCTCATTATCCTGGCTTCTAAGGAGCATTCTAACTATACTTCTTCTGACAAAGTTTTGTTTGTTCTTCTAGCAGTCCATGGTATTTTTAATATTCTTCTCCACCACTATAACTCAAATGCATTCATTCTTTTATGGTCTTCCTTATTCACTGTCCAGCTTTCACATGCATATGAGGCTATTGAAAATACCATGGCTTGGATCAGGTGCGCCCTAGTCCTCAAACTGACATATTTGCTCTTGAACACTTTAACGTGGTCTCGTACAACAGATTTGTCATTTGATTTGTCATTTGCAATATGTCATTTGATTTCTTGACTGCTGTTTCCATAAGTGTTGCTAGTGGATCCAAGCAAAATGAAGTCTTTGACAGCTTCAATCTTTTCTCCATTTATCATGATGTTATTGGTCCCATAGTGAGGATTTTTGTTTTCTGTACATTGAGGTGTAAGCCATATTAAAGCCTGTGGTTTTTGATCTTCATCAGTGAGTATTTTAAGCCCTTTTTGAGTTCAGCAAATAAGGTTGTATCTTCTTCATATTGCAGGTTGTTAATGAATCTTCTTCTAATTCTGATGCCACATTCTTCTTCATATTATCCACCTTCTCAGATCATTTGCTCAGTATATATATATTGAATAAGTAGGGTGGAAGAATACAACACTGACACACACCTTTTCTGATTTTAAATCAATATTCCCTTATTCTGTTCGAACGACTGCCTCTTAGTCTATGTACAGGTTCCTCATGAGCACATTAAGTGTTCCGGAATACTCATTCTCTACAGTGCTGTCCATACCTTGTCATGATCCACATAGATGAAAGCCTTTGCATAGTCAGTAAAGCACAGGTAAGCATCTTTTGGTATTCTCTGCTTTCAGCCTAGATACATCTGATGTAAGCAGTGACATCCTTGTTCCACATCCTCATCTGAATCACGCTTGAATCTCTGGCAGTCAGTGTAATAGTGCACCATTTTTAAATGATCTTTAGCAAAATTTTACTTGCATGTGATATTAAAAATATTGTCCAATGATTTCTTCATTCCGTTGGGTCACCTCTCTTTGCAATGGGTACAAATGTGGGTCTCTTTCAATCAATTGACCAGGTAGCTGTCATCCAAATTCTTGGTAGCTACATGCCTCAGGTGCTTCATCAGTTTGTTGAAAGATTTCAATTTGTATTCTATCAATTCCTGGAGTCTTGTGCTTTGCTAATGCCTTTAGTGCACCTTGGACTTCTTCCTTTAGTATCATTGGCTCTTGATCATATGCTGCCTCTTGAAATGGTTGAACATCAACCATTTCTTTTTGATACAGTGACTCTGTGTAGTCCTTCCATCTTCTTTTGATGCTTTCTGCATCATTCAATACTTTGCCCATAGAATCCTTCGATATTTCAAGGCAAGACTTGAAATTTTTCTTCAGTTCTTTCAGCTTGAGAAATGCTGAGCATGTTCTTCCCTTTTGGTTTTCTAACTCCAGGTCTTTGCACATTTCATGATACTTTTTCTTCTTGAGATACCCTTTGAAAATTTCCATTCAGCTCTCTTATATCCTCATTTCTTCCATTTGCTTTAATGTATCTATGCTGGAGAACAAATTTTAGAGTCTCTTCTGACATCCGTTTTGATCTTTTCCTTCTTTCTTGTCTTCTTAATGACCTTTTGCTTTAGTGATTGGTGCATAAATTTGAGTAACAAATGGTTTTAACTGGTCTTCTTTGTAGGTACAGATATTATCTTATCACAGATAGTATTGTATTTCAAGCTAGATCTTAAAATATTCTTATTGATGATGGATGCAGTGCCATTTCTCTTGAATTTGTCATTCCCGGCATAGTAGTCTATATGATTGTTAGATTCAGAATGGCCGGTATCAGTCCTTTGAAGCTCACTGTCTTGTCATCTTAATAACCTTTTGTTTTCATCTTGTATGTTCTTGATGTCATCCCACAACTCTTCTTGTAATCTGACATAAATGTCTAAGTCATCAAATCTGTTCTTGAGGTGATCTCTAAATTCAGGTAGGATAGGTTGAAGGTCATATTTTGGTTCTCATGGAATTGTTTTAATTTTCTTCAGCTTCAGCCTGAACTTTCATATATGAGCAATTGATGATCTGTTCTACGTCTT